ACAGTTCTATAACACAACAAACAGGGAATGCAGTGCGGAAGGAACATTAGAAAATGGACAGGGGAGCCAGCGCTGCAACCAGGAAAACTTTAACACAGTAACCTCCACATCTGAATTGCACCCCTTGCTTGAAACCTTGGGAAATCACTGCCAGTTACTCTATGCAGATAATACTGAACTAGACTGGCTCAACAGAAGAGAGCTTCCGACACAAAGCTGTCAGGTGGAGGTGTTTGCATACGTTTATGTGGTTCCTCTCCTGAAAGGTGCAGGTACTACAGACAGGAGAAGGAATAAATAAGGCTGTTCTTGCAGTATTTGCTCTTTGATTCCAAAAATATCAGCAGGCAAAGCTTTCTCCATCCTCGTTTTGGTACCGTTCCTGGAGATTTCTTCCTTGCAGTCATCTTCGGCCGGGAAATGGCTTGGCAGCAAATACTGCTTCTGATTTCCTGCGTGACTTTCTCAGATCCCCCTCACCTCTTGCAACTCATCTTCTGTCTCTGTGTGCTGCTGATAGCAAAAGGAGAAGCTGTTTTCGAGAGAAAACGAGAGTCACTTTTTCGGGTTTACGCTGCTTCCGATCGCAAGCACTTTGATCACAGGAGGAGAAGTCTAGGGACCGGCAAATGTGTTTTGCCCTTCATCCTTCGGGCCATGGCAAGATATAATTAAGAGTGGCGTCTGATGGTTACTGTCACAAGTGAGGCTCCAGTGTCTTGATTTACGTGGAGAGGCCTTTAGATCTGGGTGATCCCATTTGCCCTGATACCTCTTGGGGGGAAATTGTGGAGCGTCATTTTTTGTTACTGCCTGCTAGTGGCTGACCTAAGATTATACAATGAGATGTGGCAGATGAGCTCAGTGGTCCATTTAATCCTGCATCCCATTTCCCTACCTATGGGAAGCAGGACATGAGTGCAATAGCCCTTTTGTTCCCCGGCAACTGAAATTCAGAGGCATGATCCCTCTGACTCTCTACTAATACAGGTATAATTAGTAGCCATACATAAACCTTTCCTTCACCATAGATTTATCTGATTGCTTCTAAAGGGCAACCATCACTCCTGGTAGCAAAGCTGCTTAACAGAGTCCAGAAAGAAAAATCCCGACAACACTTTACTGAAAAAACTTGAACAGAAACAGCGTATAATTTGAGGAGAAAGGGACAGGGAGGTTTTATCTTTCCTACTTCGGGCTTTGTACATAGTGAGGAGATATTCAACCAAACATACAGAGGAAATCTCTCTCAGAACGACACAGCCAATTGGAGCATGTGCCACCTCAGCAAAGATCATGCCACTCTGCCTGGTTGCTAAGCAACACCACCTGCCCCACCCCTGGCTAGTTGACGTTAGCACCAACAGAATTAGCCCTTAAGTTTCAAACTGAATGATCCCTGCTATTGCACTTCCAACGACCACATCTTGCAGCAGATACTCATTACTCCTTGAATGAAGAAGTGCTTTCTTGTGTGTGCCCTGAAGCTTCTACCCGTCAGTTTCTAGTAAAAGGAGATAGGAAGAAAAACTTTGTCTCTGACCACACCCTGAATAATTTTAGAACAGTTGTGTCAACCAGTCCATTAAATTTAGTAGCCTTCAACAGTGGGAGTAGGCTACCAGGGAGAGAGGGCTGTTAAGTTGTGGGTTGACATAGCAGACGACACAGCGATTTCTCCAAAGCAGCTCTTTATTTTGTAAGCTGGAACAGAACTAACTGAGGAGCTCAGTCAGCCTGCTTATATAGAGCTCCAGAACAATGTAACTGTTGCCATTTTCTAAAACTATCCAATCACTGAACGTCACTTTTCGATCCTTCATTTGCATACAAAACTATCCAATCACTGAACGTCACTTTTCGATCCTTCATTTGCATAACTATCTACAGTATCCCCCTGCTGGCCCAGGGTGAGAACTTCAGTACATAACAAGGGCCTTCTCAGTGGTGGCACCCTAGCTATGGAATAGTCTCCTGCTTGTTCTTCTTAGGAGGTGCCTAGACAGCTGCCTGAAAGTCCTGCTCTGGCGGCAACAACCATCTCCTTCCTCTGGTAAAGCCCGCCATGCCGTTTTTGTTTCCAGCTTCCCGAAGGCTGCCATTTCTGATTAAGAGTCGCTGCTGCTGCTGCTACTTCTTCTTCTTCTTTTAAAAAAATATCATTTTCATTCCTTCCCCCACCACCCTGAAGGCAAGTTTTGTTTGCAGGATTAGAAGCAAATAAATATTTATGCAATATGCAAATAAGACGTGATAAGATTTGAGCGCCGTGGAAAACGGGAAGCCTTTTAAGAGTTGCGGGGAGGAGATTAGGGAGCGTTTGCTGGCGTACCAAATTCCTTGTTGTCTGAAGAGGAGGTTTCATCTCCCCAGCTTTCCTTAGTAGGAATGCAGGAAGGGAAGGAGGAGCAAGAAGTGCATGGCTGCAGGATCAGGCCAAGGCCCATCTAGTCTGGCATCCTATATTCCAGAGCAACCAGCCAGATGCCTCTGGGAAGCTCACAAGCAGGACTCAAGAGCGAAAGTCCTCTCCTGATTTACCTTCCCCAGGGATATTAGAGCCATTACTGCTGCTGGTCCTGCAGGTCGTAAGCAAGCATTAAGGCTGGTGCAGCTGAGAGCCTTTATCCTATGGAATTAATCAAATCCCCTTTTTAAAAGCCTGTAAGTTGGTGACATACCTTCCAACATTTCTCCAATGAAAAAAGGAGACGTATTATTAGTATTAGTATTAGTATTAGTATTTATTATTACCATTATTATTACCGTTATTAGTATTAGTACAGTGGTACCTCGGGTTAAGAACTTAATTCGTTCTGGAGGTCCGTTCTTAACCTGAAACTGTTCTTAACCTGAAGCACCACTTTAGCTAATGGGGCCTCCCATTGCTGCCGCACCGCCGGAGCACAATTTCTGTTCTCATCCTGAAGCAAAGTTCTTAACCCGAGGTACTATTTCTGGGTTAGTGGAGTCTGTAACCTGGAGCGTATGTATCCGGAGGTACCACTGAATTAGTATTATTATTATACCCCACCCATCTGACCGGGTTGTCCCAGCCACTCTGGGTGGCTTCCAACATTAAAAACGTCCCTATACGGGGCTGCATTCAGATGTCTTCTCAAGGTTGTATAGTTACTTATCTCATTGGCTCGGGGGTCGCATAACTCCATATCCTCCAACATTTCACCCATGAAAATAGGGATGTCCTAAGGAAAAGCAGGACATTCCAGGATCAAATCAAAAACTATGATGGCTTCTGTAAATCTAGGACTGTCCCTGGAAAATCGAGACATTTGGAGGGTCTGTGGTGCAAAATCCACCATTTAGCTGTGGATCTTGAGATGCTCAGGTAATTAGTATTCCGTACACCAAATATTCATCTGCAAACAGCATATGCTCCAGCTGTCCCTGTTTGCTAGGCACAGCCTCTATTTCCTGGCCTCAGTCTCCAGCACGTAGCAGCATAGGGTGCTGCCTTCCACTGGAGTCAGGACATTGGTCCATCTAGCCCAGTACTGTCAACACTGGCTGGCAGCTGCTCGTCAGGGATTCGGACAGAAGTCTTTCCCAGCTGGGGATTGAGCATAGGAGGCTTTGCATGGAAAGGATGTGCTCTGCCACTGAGGCCCCATCTGCCCCATACATTCAAATCATACCACTTTTAAGTTTTCCCCAAAGAATCTTGGGATATGATCCTTCACCTTCTGATTGATAAATCCTGATGAGACTGAGGCTAAACCCATAGAGGGATCTGGATCAGAGAGAGCAGTAGAGAGCAGGAACCAGCAAGTTAGAGGGACTGAGAACATTGAATCAGAGCACCAAAAGTGGTCAGATCTGGGTCCTTCAGAACCATGGACAGGTCTCAGGAAGCAGAGGAGTTGCTCTGATGTGTGGACTTAATGACATAGCAACGTCAAGGAAAAGTCCCCTTACCATCAACAACTGGCACCAGTATTATCGCACTTCAACCAAGCTCTTTCACAGAGACTTGCTTTCCTCCACAAACCACCACAAGGTCTCCCGACACCGAGCCTTGGAGACCGGACCTTTCAAACTTGCACTGATTTTAACCAACTTTTCCATGATGGTTCCTGAGTCCAAGGGACAGGTTTTCATGGTTGGATATAGTCGGACGACAATTTGAATCAATATGGTGCACTGTAACCATTGGTCTTTAGCCGCTGGGTTCAAAACGGCATTGATTTTTTGAATTCCTGAGCATCGGCAACAGGTATGAGGCTGCTAGTAATAAGTAATCCACAGATCGGTGGTAGAGCACATGTTTTTCATGCAGAAGGTCCCAGGTTTAATCCCTTGCATCTCCAGATTAAAAAGGATTAGGGAGCGGGTGATGGAAACGGGACTCTGGAGAGCCTCTGACGGTTGGGAGTGGACAATACTGAGTTAGGCAGCCAAAATGTCTGAGCTGGTGTAAGGCGGCTTCCTCGAGTCGTTAGGGATTGTTCTGTGGTCTGACTCATAGCCGAAGGCGAGCCTTAGTTTCCAACTACACTGTACATTTAAAGCACCATGAAACCGCTTCATTCAGCCATGGCTTCCGTACAAGAATCCTGGGAGCTGTGGCTTCTTGCCCAAGGCTGCTGAGAGTTGTTAGCATGCCCCGCCTATCCCCCTCCCAAGAGCTACAATTCCCCCAGCTCCCTCTGAAGAGGGATTGTTAAAGCAGCCTGGGAATTGTAGCTCTGTGAAGTGGAAAGGGGGTCTACTAACAATCCTCAGCACCCTTAACGAACTACAGTTCCCAGGATGCCTTAGAGGAAGCCACAAACAGTTAATGTTGTACAGTGGTACCTCAGGTTACATATGCTTCAGGTTACAGACTCCACTAACCCAGAAATAGTGCTTCAGGTTAAGAACTTTGCCTCATGATGAGAACAGAAATTGTGCTCCGGCGGCGCAGCGGCAGCAGGAGGCCCCATTAGCTAAAGTGGTGCTTCAGGTTAAGAACAGTTTCAGGTTAAGTACGGAACTCCGGAACGAATTAAGTACTTAACATGAGGTACCACTGTATAATAGTGCTTTCAAAGTACAGTGGTACCTTGGGTTAAGAACTTAATTCGTTCTGGAGGTCCATTCTCAACCTGAAACAGTTCTTAACCTGAGGTACCACTTTAGCTAATGGGGCCTGCCGCGCCACCGCTGCGTGGTTTCTGGTCTCATCCTGAAGCAAAGTTCTTAAACCGAGGTACTATTTCTCGGGTAGCGGAGTCTGTAACGTGAAGTGTCTGGAACCCAAGGTGCCACTGTATAGTTCACATGGGGCCTCCATTTCAAATCTTCACTCAAGCCATCAAACTCACTGGATGACTTTGGGGGTCCCTCCCTCCCTTCCTCATTTTTTCAACCTTTTCTACCTCACAGGAAGTGTTAGAAATTCTCATATATAAATCCTTAAGCAAGGGTTACAGTCACCAATATGTAATGTCTAGTCGTTGTTCGGGGGACAGACGGCTCAAAAGTCGTGTTTTTCAATATGACTTTTTGGTTCCTGAAATTTGTTCTGATTGTGCAGATAAAATAGCGCAGATAGAATTCTACAGGGTGTGTTGCTCATGTGTGAAAACAGCCCAGATCCAATGATCTCCAGGCATGCAACTCCAGGTACACCTGGGCATCTTCACTTGGTCGCAAGTGGCCGATAGCCAGGTGCAAAATGAGCCTGAATTTCAAATGCTGTTTCGCAGGACTGCTGCAAGGATAAAACGAGGGCGGAAGTTACAGGGAACCAGGCAGAGGGCCTTCTTGGTAGTGGCACCTACCTTGTGGAACCCCCTCCCACCAGATGTCAAGGAGATAAGCAGCAATATGACATTCAGAAGACATCTGAAGCCAGCCTTGTATAGGGGAGTTTTTAATGTTTGATGTTTTACTTTGTTTTTATATTTTGTTGGAAGCTGCCCATTGTGGCTGGGGCAACCCAGTTATATGGGCAGCGTACAAATAAGAATAAGAATAAGATGATGATGTCTACTCCACCTGGAGCCCCTTGGAGGAAAGGTGGAATATAAGTGCAAATTAATAACCCATGCTTTTGTTTTTAAATGTGGGGAATAGGTTAGCGTGGAAACGCTGAGCGTGCAGCTCTTCCGAGTCCCCAACGCCTCGGGGAACGCATTTTTTGCCTCATGAAATGTGACTAATTATTTACTTGACGGTAGGCCTCTCTCCGTAGGCCGCGCTGCCCTCCCTTTTGAGTTGGGGGAGAGAAAAACACACACAACCACCCCGTGTATACAAAACCCTAGTCAAGGGAGCTCCCTTTCCAGGTGGAAACAACAGGCTTTTTATATTGCCTCTTCTGGATCTCGCCAAGCGGGTGAGAATAAAGATTTACAGTGTTTGGGAGATTAAAGGCCCTTGTTACGTTGTTCAAATACCACGAGATTAGTTTCCAAGGCGACGGATGCCAGTTGCCATAGGCACCGTAGGGGCCTGGAATTGAGATTGAGGATGTATTTATTTATTTTTTACCCTGGTCACGCAAACAGTAGCTGAACCGCAGTTGTGTGTGCACGCGTGCATGTGTGTGTTTAGCAGAAAGCAAGGAGAGGGTGACGGAAAAGATGGTTGTGACTCTGAAATTTTGATGTTCAGTATTTTATTATGTTTTTATATAAGTTTGAAGCTGGCCAGAGTGGCTGGGGCAACCCAGGGTATAAAACAACAACATTTACAGTGGTAAATGTTTTTATTACAGTGGGATGCGGGCGGCGCTGTGGGTTAAATCACAGAGCCTAGGACTTGCCGATCAGAAGGTCGGCAGTTCAAATCCCCGCTGCTCAGTCCCTGCTCTTGCCAACCTAGCAGTTCGAAAGCACGTCAAAGTGCAAGTAGATAAATAGGTACCGCTCCGGTGGGAAGGTAATCGGCGTTTATGTGTGCTGCTCTGGTTCACCAGAAGCGGCTTAGTCATGCTGGCCACGTGACCTGGAAGCTGTGCTCCCTCGGCCAATAAAGCGAGATGAGCGCCGCAACCCCAGAGTCGGTCACGACTGGACCTAATGGTCAGGGTTCCCTTTACCTTTACTTACCTTGGGTTACATACGCTTCATGTTACATACGCTTCACGTTACAGACTCCGCTAACCCAGAAATATTACCTCGAGTTAAGAACTTTGCTTCAGGATGAGAACAGAAATTGTGCTTCGGCAGTGCAGCGGCAGCAGGAGGCCACATTAGCTAAAGTGGTGCTTCAGGTTAAGAACAGTTTCATGTTAAGAACGGACCTCCGGAACGAATTAAGTACTTAACCCGAGGTACCACTGTATTATTATTATTATTGAATAGGATGTCCCTGTTTTCATCGGAGACATGTTGGAGGATATGTCTTAATTGTTTCATAACATGCTGTTTGCCGCCTTGCTTTTTGGGGTGGAAGGGAAGGATATACCGTACATTTAATTATTAAATTAACTATGTGGAGGACAAACACGACTCCGAGGGAGCCAGTTTCGTTTCACTTCCTCTAGATTTGTGACTCAGGTCATTCTTGTTTAAAGAGCCCTGATTGGTTGAGGAATTCCTTGCTTGGTTCCTGCTTCTCTCGTTATTCATTTTATTATATTGGATCATTTTCTCAGTGCATATTTCTAAATATGATAGATGCCTTTTGTGCAAAAGGCAAGGTGAATTCCCACCCCACCCCCCATAAAATAAAGTTAAATAGTAACAAGTACTGAGGTGTCCTTAATAACATAGCAAAATTTGAAAAAACTATTCTCCTGCAAAAACTATTTTAAAAGTCACCCCCTTGTCTTAAATCACAGTTTAAAGAGTAGGCTTGGGGGATATCTGGTTTTCAACATTGTCATATATCACCAGTTAAACATTGCAATATACTGATAGATCATGATGTCTGAAATAAGGATGGAGCTATGTAGAGGCATTGGGTGGCTTCACATTTACCCCTGTATTGTGATTTTTGCATAGCGCGCCCACACACACACACACACACACCCACCATGATGCCAGGTCCAAAATTATGAAATGGATATCACAATATGGACTTCAAACCAGTTTGGGATGATACATCAATATATCACCCAGCCTTACTTAAGAGAGCTGTGTGTTTCTAAGACTTAAGGTAAAGGGACCCCTGACCATGAGGTCCATTCGTGGCCGACTCTGGGGTTGCGACGCTCATCTCGCTTTATTGGCCGAGGGAACCAGCGTACAGCTTCTGGGTCATGTGGCCAGCATGACTTAGCAGCTTCTGGAGAACCAGAGCAGCGCTTGGAAACGCCGTTTACCTTCCCACTGGAGCAGTACCTATTTATCTACTTGCACTTTGACGTGCTTTCGAACTGCTAGGTTGGCAGGAGCAGGGACCGAGCAACGGGAGCTCACCCCGCCGCGGGGATTTGAACCGCCGACCTTCTGATCGGCAAGTCCTAGGCTCTGTGGTTTAACCCACAGCGCCACCCGCGTCCCGTTTTTTAAAAAATGCTCCAAGTGCAGACTTTCATTATCGGTGACTTTGGAAGGTACATTTTGATTGGCAAGGAATTTAACGGCCTCTCTCGAGGGAATGCAGAAAGCAATCTTTGTGATTAGGAAGAGCGGAGCGAAGGGGAGAGGGAATAGGCTGCAAGTGATGAATTGAGATGGTCTTAGTTCATTAATACACCTTGCTAATTTTAGCCTTCCTTCTGAAACCTTTGCTTCTGCGATGTGCAATTTCCCAGCTAGCATCGGAAGTTTGTTTTCATTCTTTTTGTGGGGCGGTGCCCCCGGAAGTGCCTGCTGGGTCCGGCGAGGGACCCATCTAGTCCAGCACAGTGGCCAGCCAGATGACTGTGGGAAACTCACAAGCAGGATTGAAGCACAAGAGCTCTCTTCTCTCCTGTTGTTTCCAGCAACTGGTATTCAGAAGCATTGCTGCCTCCAGCCATGGAAGCAGAGCATAGCCATCATGGCTAGTAGCCCTTGATAGCCTTATCCTCCCTGAATTTGTCCAATCCTTTTTTGAAGCCATCTAGTTCAACAACCTCAGATATGCAGATGACACAACCTTGATGGCAGAAAGTGAGGAGGAATTAAAGAACCTTTTAATGAGGGTGAAAGAGGAGAGCGCAAAATATGGTCTGAAGCTCAACATCAAAAAAAACGAAGATCATGGCCACTGGTCCCATCACCTCCTGGCAAATAGAAGGGGAAGAAATGGAGCCAGTGAGAGATTTTACTTTCTTGGGCTCCATGATCACTGCAGATGGTGACAGCAGCCACAAAATTAAAAGGCACCTGCTTCTTGGGAGAAAAGCTATGACAAACCTAGACAGCATCTTAAAAAGCAGAGACATCACCTTGCCAACCAGAGAAGACTCCCTGGAAAAGACCCTGATGTTGGGAAAGATGGAGGGCACAAGGAGAAGGGGACGACAGAGGATGAGATGGTTGGACAGTGTTCTTGAAGCTACCAGCATGAGTTTGACCAAACTGCGGGAGGCAGTGGAAGACAGGAGTGCCTGGTGTGCTCTGGTCCATGGGGCCACGAAGAGTCGGACACGACTAAAAGACTAAACAACAACAGTTTGGAGGTCATCACTGCCTCTTGTGGCAGTGAGTTCCACAGTTTAACTATGTACCGCGTCCTGAATCTCTGTCCTGAATCTTCCCATGTTCAGATGTCCAGGAATTCTAGTGTTATGAGAGAGGGAGAAGAAAACCTTTCTCTATCCACTGCCTCTACACCATGAATACTTCTATAAACTTCTATCGTTCCTTCCTACTTGCCTTTTCTCTAAACTAAAAAATTCCCGGACGCTGCAACCTTTTTCCATCGGGGAGTTGCTCCATCTCCTCGGCCGTTTCAGCGGCCCTTTTCTGAAAAATTTCCTTGGCAGATCCAGGAAATTTGTGCAACAAGCGCATGTTTGTAGGTGAAGCAGGATTCACTAGCAACATTCTCAGGTGCACATTTAAATCCTGGGAACTGTAATTTGTTAAGGCTGCTGGAAGATGTAGCTCTGCAAGGGGTTAAACTGCAGTTCCCAGGGTTCTTTGGGGGAAGTTGTGTGCTTTCAACATGCTTTAAACATATGGTGCCTTGCCTTGCCCTGGCCT